AATTACGTACGTACACTGCTGTACTTGTTATTTAATCCACGGGTAAGCTAGATCACTGTTTCGATTTTTTATTTAAGCTAAATTGCGTAAAATGAGAAAAGGAAACAGAAAAAAATGTTTGTTCCATGTTGAAACCATTTAAATTACGTGCAACAATGTTCTCGTGCAGCTATAGCTAGAAAAGATAATTAGGTTGCCCACTCTGTATAATGTTTCTATACTACTGAAATGAATTCCGTAATAAGAAAATGTCTAAAACAATTTCAAATAATTCGAAATTCCAGTGTGTAGTATCGTGAAAAAATGTTCGAAGGAAGTATAAATATGTATTATTTCAAGTTCAGTCCTATCTTCTTAATCGACCGAATGAAATTTTCAGCGAGGAAAGAGAACTTACCATCTGGGAGTAAGCTGCCACCGTATTTTCTGATTGAAAAAATATTGTCTTGCGAAGCTGTAAAGTTACTTCGACTTTCTAGAATACGGAGTAGAATTTTTGCTAATTTCTTTTGAAAAGAAAAACAAAATAAATTGATAAAATTCGACACTCTTTTTGTTAAATTTAACGCGTATTTTACTTTCGTTTCGTTTCGGTTAATTTCTAGATTTGAATTGTCTGTAACGAGTGTTATCTGATAACAAATTTAAGAAGATGAAATCATGAAATCAGACATTTCATATTGAGCCTAATATTCAATATTTTAAGAAATTTTCCGCATCATTCAAATATTAGGTCATTCGACAAGAGAGCAAAAAATATTTCAATGCAAATCCAAGAAAATTCAATAGCAACAGCATAATAATCTTAGCAAAAGAAAAAAAAGAAAATAGGAAAAAATTGTGGAATGAGAAGACGCTTACGTTTTTTCTATAAAATTGAAAGATTCGTTAAAAATGTTGATCTAAATAACCAAATTCAAACTTACGGGACGACCTGACACAATTCTCTCTCGCATCTCCTAACACACATCAGTCGCAGAAAACATACCGGCTCATAAATCATTCATAAAACAAGCAACACGACAATTGCTTTTAATTGCATGATGTCAGACGTATCATTACACAGGTTTACGTAAGAAACGCGTCGCTAATCGGACCAATTACCAACCACGAGTGCATCAATAAGAAAACCAACTTTCCAAACGAGAAAACCCACTGAAACTTAAGTTGAACGAGCGAAAGAGCGAGCAGGGGTAAAGGAGAAACTCGGCGGCGGAACAGGTGAACTTGAAGGGAAATGATAGCGGTTTACTAATAAATCGTCTAGACGACGGTCAATAAAAGATTGAACGCAAGTTTGGACCGCTGTAAAACCACGAGGTTGGAAAAGTGTGCAGGTCGGAAAAGTGTAGGTCGAAGGTCTGTGTCAGGGGAAAAGGGATAGAAAGGGAGAAAGAGGAAGCAGAAGGGAAAAGGGTTGGCGGAAGAGAGCCAGGGGGTGGCTAGACGGAGCTCTAACAAGTGGCCACAGTCCGTAACGATCGCCTTCTGTGTCATGCACCAGACACTCGTGCGCGCTTTCTCTATCTAAGAGGTTTAACCAATACACGCTGAATTTCGCACTTCTTTGTCGATGTACGTGTACACTAACATCGCGGAATATCGCTTAACGTGACACAAAGGTCGTTCACGACCGACTGATATTTCGTTCGCTTTTCCTTTTTTTTTTCTCTTCTTTCAGGTGAAAAAAAATGCTCACCGTTACATGTCCCCAAACGGTGACTGTTTAATTGGACCGATCGATCACACCTATTACGTGGCTGCGTATAAAACGCTTTGCCAAATACAACTTTCTTGAAACGTTGAGTTTTTCCACGTTTTCCCGATGGTCGGCCAATTTTTTAGCGTGTAAACGTTCTGAAGTTTCGGTCACTTTTTGACGTTGTTAATAGGTATACTGATTCATATTCGCACCCTAGGATTTTACTATTCAGAGAATTTATAATATTTCAATTTTTCTTCTGATTATTTCGTTATAAAACTAGATATCCGGTAACTTTACTGCAGAAATTTTCAATCGTTGCGCCCGATTTCTTTTATAACTATTTCGTGAACGAATAAAGAATGCAATTCTACGTTCAGCCACCAAATACGTTCTATCAGGGTGCAAGAGCACCGAAGACACCAGAAACCATCTCCAAATACCTAACAGTACTAAAGAAATATTTGAAACAGAGGAAATCCGAAGAAAGCAATCACACTTATCCGCTGAATAAACTTTTACTGTGAAATGTAGAATAACCCAACTATGGCCTATGAAAACCAAGACGTCGACGCAGCCTTAAATTACGTTGAAAAAAGAACAAAAATTCTACGTGTTAAGTGCTCTTGTTAAGTTGGACAATTTTTGAGAAATTGAGATAACTGTTCTATTACTGCGGTATGTAAATATTAGGATAACCATCTGAAATTGATTCAGCTGAGAGTGACAGAAAACTGGAGCAAGGATTAGTGGCTGGTAAATTAAGTGGATCCTTAGGTAAAAAGAATCCACTTGAACCTGTCCGTTTTCTTTCCTGCATTCGGTAACGATATCTTTGATGTACTTGATAACGAGCTTCGTGTTCTGATAACTATACAGTTTGTAAGGTAAAGAAGCAAATATTTTCGACGACGGTAATACAGAATGATCATCAACGCAGGTTCTCTTGAAGACGTGTTTTCTTTGAAGCATGCTCAAAGAGGAAAGTAGGCTACGGTTAATTTGATCAATGAAGCACTAACGCATAAATCTAACTTCCGCTACAGTATTTACTTTAGAAGATATTAAGGACAAATAACATATTTTTCTATTTAATTTTAAAAATTCAACGCACGCTCTAACCTTATATTTGTATAATTGAATATTATTAACAATAAGTGTAGATAAAGATTTCATAGAATAGTTGCAAAGATAAATAAAGATTTGTTAAATAATTTTGTACTATTTTTATTCGTTACGTATTGTTTTCATATCTATGAAGTAAAATTGGAAAGAACTATTGTTGAAAGAATTATTTAAATGAGTGTGCGCGCGCATGCGCGTGGACGCCTGTACACTGAGTGATTCTAGAAAATGGAACATGTAACTTATTTCTGAATAAAAGTAGGGAGAAATAATGCAAAGAAATATTGAACGATTTAACGCCAGACGAACGGTTTAACGAAATGTCTGGTAAGAATTTTTTACGTGGAGAAAATAATATAGTACCATTTATAAAATAAAAATGCAATTTCATATTGCACACATGCATCGTTGTATTTGTAGAAACATTCTGCCTCAGTAATGTAGACTCCATTAAACTATTCAGCTTTTCTCTCTATAATTTTTTCCTGTTTTCGCTTCGAAAAGAGTTGCACTCGTCCCAGTTTCTAGAAACACCCTGTATATGGGCGTGTATATATTTATCGTAGACATTCTAAAAGTTTGAATTATAAATAGATATTATCCTTAAAAAACCAACAACAGTTTACCTTAATTACGTTTAACGAAATTTATAATTGCTGATAAACTTCGTATAAATGTGAAAATAACAAATTGAAAATTCAACAATTTTTCGATTTACCTTGTCAAAATATACGGGACGTTTGTAGAAAATTAATCAGATAGCGATGAAGCACGGCTATTATGAATGACTAAAAATCTACGTTACCCTGTTTCACTTCCAAAATTAGCAACTACATCTAAAAAAAGAGAGTGAGAAAATATACGACATCTGCGCGCCATTTCGTTAATCACACCACTGAACTTTCAAAGCTTCGAAATAATGTACGCAGTTAAACATACAGCGTATTGTTTGGACACCACATATTTATGCACTACACTGTAATCTTCTATACGTCACAATAATTCTACGCCTGAAGAAGGAATTTTTGTAAAATTAACGACGTTTGAAATTCTTGCAATTTTACGTTATAGGTTAAACCGAGTGTTGTATTTACCATCGTAATAACATTAGTTCACTGGCGTTCCGTGCACTAGTCCTGCCGAATTCGTGATTTGCAATTAAAAGTTTCAGCGGTTCGTCCAACGCCCTTCGATTTTTGTGACATGCTTTAACGTGGTTTTTGTAGCGTGTGTTCACAATCATGCACATAATTACAGCTTATACGTGTACACTGTGATTGCACAATGGAAATTCGTGATTATTTTACGAAAGATTCAAAATCGCGACGCCACCGACACGAACACTCGTCACGTGACTCCTCGAGAATTGTATTAAATACATTTCTAGAATTATATAAAAGATTGTGTTACATTTATTTATTTATTTATCTATAGGTGTGCATATATGTGAGTTACTACGAGAAAGGAAAGAACGAGAAAGAAAGATAGACGACGAGAAAAGGAAGTAAGAGAGAACGAAGAAGTACGAAAATATCTGTTACTTGGAGCGCGTGGTAGCTGAGTCGCTCGATGATACAAAGCACATGCCCGGCGTGAGAACTGTCAAATACCGTGATATTTCTTCTGAACCGAAGAACATGGAGGCCTAAAAAAGGCTCTTTCGTTAAGATTAAATCGATATCGAAGGAATGGTTAATGCCGCACGTTCTTTGTCTTAAGTAATACTTAATCCCCCGCGTACACGCTCCTTCTTTATATCTATCCCGCTCTTAAGCGTAACCGGCACGCTTATTTGTCCTTGTCGCACGCTTACCACTTTCTCGCTCGTTTTACGTTCTCTCTTTCTCACTAAACTGTCATGTACGCGGTTCTCTCGCTTTTCTACAAATACATGCATCACTCGCGTACATATACGCTCGTATATACACGTGTGGACACATACGAACACGTAGAGTATATATCTATATATAAATGAATCACGCATACAAGTTCGGTTATTCTATAGGTAATACCGAGTGCCGTGCAACAGAACGTAACGCATCGAGGTAAGCCGGGGTAAGAAGACCTTAACCTATCGTGGTTAAAGGCCAGGAGTGTAAGCGGCTCAAATAAAAACCGAGTGATTAGAGCAAGCAAACATTCGTTTTTCCCGGTTTCCGATAAATTGTCTTACCTGTTTTACTAGTGGGTGTAGTGTCTGTTCTATGCTACGGGTCTTTATCTCTAGGGTGGCTGGGTCTACGGGGTCGGGTGTCGCCATGATTCGAACACAACTCCGAGCTCCGTAGACTCGAACCGAGCCTAGAGGGTTCGTTGCACCCCTCTTACTTCTCGTGCCTCTTCACAACCCTCTCACAACACTCGTGCGTTTCCATTTATTTCCCTAGACACCCCTCTATCCGGATTGCTAGCCAATCGTCGCGTTGATAACCGTCGATGCAGGCGACGTTCTGCCTCGACGGCAACGTATGCAGCTTCACATCGTGCAACTACGCAGCAGGTTTCGAACACGGCACGCCAGCGCCATCTTACAACGTAGAATTCAGTTATCGCGTTAGTCGTTCGTGGTTCGTCGTTTCGTCTTTCAATTAATTTTCAAATGTGAAGCTTTCCTAGATTTCTAACAGATAAAGACGATAATACGTGTGTGATGTGTGAGAATTAAGTTTGTAGGACAGAGCCACATTCGTTCGATCAAGAATCTACTCGAAGGTGACCATATGGAACTTTGAATTTGATTTCGGTTCGCGCGCCACAGAAACGAATGTAGAAATGGAGCATTGCGGTAAATAACACGAAATCATTTTTTAAACGTAAATTACAAGTTAAAATCATTGCCAGGAAGGTTTATATGGAAATTTTTGTGTTTCACCTCTATATTCTTGATATATCTATGAGATATATCAGATTTACGTTTGAAAATGTTCAAATTCAAATACTACGATACACTGATGACGTAATACTTCTACATGAAGTTATTAATAGGAATTCTAGTGCTATATAATATACGTAGAAAGCTTCCTATCAGCTTCAGTAGATTATTTCAGCTCCTTTCACCCTGTTCTTCGATTAATTCTGCATATTTTTCATTATTTTCGAATGTTTGCTTATTTGTGACATACGACGTCATAAAATACTTCGAAACTATTTCTCGTACGAAAAATTGAAAAATTAAAATATAGAAATTCTTATGCGATACATTTGTAAAATTTACATCGGTGCACTGCATAATTGTTTATAAAAAAATTAGATCGATGATCGGGGATGAATAATAAAACTGTTTTGGAACTAACGTGAAACGTATATATTTGATAGGTTATTTATCTGCTTCTATGAGAATTGTATTTACAAGCTACATTTTCGAAATACGTACCAGTACTGAGGTTTAATAAATATTTCATAATACCAACTAATTGCGACGCATTCGTAAACGCTTAACAAGATAGAAGCTAATAAAGAACTGTCTTGATAAATTACATGTATATATATATATATATATAGTCATACTTCCTAGTTATACTCGTTTAAAATATCAATGTCACGGTAAAACATCGTCGTAACTTTGTGAACGACATTCTTTAACGCTATCGAACACATCTAAATCTTTCGTAAAGCTACACATGACTAGTTCTAAATAAACATTACTCTTAGAATGTACTCTGTCGAAGAGCAGCAATTAACTGCGCTACATCGATAAAACAGTTTCCTACTCGTTACAAGAAATCGAATTCTCGAAAAGTGAACGTACGACGACAAATAAGTATAAAAGAACACAATAACTGTTCTCTGCAATTAGAAAAAAATTAAATTTCACGAAATTTTCTGCAAATACTCCGATAAACGATATAAGTCTAAAAAAATAAACGTTTCTCTTAGGACGCTTAAAAGTAGATTTTTGAAAAGTATCAGATAGAAAAAAGAAAGAAAGAAAAACAGCACAAACAAACTCAATTCGCATAAGCTTGCAAATCCACCACTGGTTAGGAGAGACACATCATTCAATTTTGCGTGACAATAACAATAACATCACCAGTGGATAGTTCGCTTTGTAAAATGAACGAGTTTACATTACTGTTGCGTTATGTCAACTAAACGTGTATCTCTTGCGGGAACTATACTTCTTAATAAAGCTAAGCCGCGTGTCGTTTCTGTGCTTACAACAACATACGTAATCTTCGTCAGAAAAAAGAATAACAAAGAAACATCTCTCTGGAACTCGTATACACTCGATCGATAACTTATCCTACGCTCTGTTTAATTGCCCTTAAAATATCTGTAAAACATTTCTTTCCTCGGAAAATTTGAACGTTTAGGCATCATGTTAACGCGGTTTCACTTCTTCCCGTTAACATGCTTATTTTGATTTGGTGCCAGCGGCGCTCTTCGTTTCACGTGCCTCTCAGGAACTTTATCCTTCGATGCTGAGACCCCGTTGCAAGCCAGGCTGCCCTTTCTTTTTCTCAAAGATTCGGTAGGAAGATACTCGGCCGGTCTCAATAGCTGCCTAAAATTATACGGACCGTTTATATCCTCCGGATCGTAATCCACCTTGAAGATCTCGTGTCGCTTCTGGACAACAGTGGGCTTGAGCACTTGTCTAAGATCGGTCGGTATACCGAACGTATCTTTCCCAATCTCCTTTTTCACACCTAATCGACCGTTGATGGCGTTCTGCGAATTCACCAATCGATCGTTTCTAATCTTACCGTCCCCGGCGGTTTGTCGATGTTTCCCAAAATTCTCGTTCTCCTTCGTCGGTCGTATCTCCTTCAGACGATCCATTACACGGTTCTTAAGAGCGTTGTTCAATCTCGACGGTTTCACCAGATCGTCCTTCACGACCATTTTATTGACGAACAAACCGTTCTGACAGCCGGTGACAACGTTTCGGTATCTGTTACCGGAAGACAGGTGCCCGGTAGGCAGGTTGACGTTCTGCGACGACGAGTGTTCGTTAACAGCGTTCGAACGATCGTTAATTGCGGCCTCGCGTTCGCTCACGGAGCTATAAGGACTGTTTAGAAGCGCGTGTCCATTGGCAAATGTCGGATGCCCGTTTGTAAAATTAGAGCCTCCATTAAGCGCGTTCTGATGACCGGTTACAGCGTGCCCATTGACGACACGTTGCTGACCAACGAAATGTTGCTGCCGTTCGTTTACACCGTTGTATCGGTCGATGTATCTGGATCGTAGGCCGTTTGAATTGTTGAGATTCGAAGAGGTGACTGGAAATTGCCTACGGTGTGGATAGACTTGAGGGGACCGCAGGTTGTTGATAGGCACGTGATTAGTCCGTGTACTGCAAAGAAAATGCTCGTTTTAATCGAACAGCTACTCCTAGGATGCAGTAGCTCGATCGTCGATTTTATCAGCACTACCAGTTGATCAATGAAAATTTGAGAATGAAGAGAATACTCTTTCGAGTAAAATATTCGTGACGCGAATGTTTCATTGTTCCTATGTTACTATTACTGAAATTTTCATTATCTTCTTTGTGCCTTAATTGTGCTAATTTTTCATGCATACTTTTTTCTTCAATTTCTATGTGAAAGTGTCTTTTTAAGTAAGAAAAAAAAGAAAAGAAATACGTATCTAAGATAAATTGATTTTCTCTTCTATTTACGTCAGAGACTACGTGAAAAGTTTCTAAATGAAATGAAATCATTTAAAATGGGTGTGACACAGTCTACGGATGGCGTAAGTTTATAATTTTACCTGGAAGTTTGCCATGATACCTCTGGCAAGGTACAGAAACACAACGAAAGATTAGTAGAACTCAATTAACTATGTTACAGTGATTAATTCAACGATACTGTCTATTGAACAATGCATTGTGGGTCTGACAAAATGAAAGAAACGAACGTAACGATTAGACGGGAAATTCAAAAGATTAGGCAATAATGTAGTAAATGGCTTGACTAGTCGTGAGAGAAAGCTTAACTTTACCCCACTCTGGTCGAGTTCTCTTGTTGCTGATTCTCGTCCGGATCTCCCAGAGCTTTGTGCCATATGTCCGAGAGTTGTTGCTCCGAGGCTATCGCAAAGTCGCCCTGAGCTTCCAAACGCTCTCTCCTCTCCGCGTTCACTTCGAGAACCTGGCCCATTCGGCTCCTAAAATTCAAGAGAAAAAATCCCAATTCTCCTGCAAAATCTCTCTACGTCACTTTTCGCGTATACGCTTCAACGACAACCACATGGTTCTATAATAATAATTACATGCTGAATTGTGAAGAGCTTCTTCACATAGTCGCATAGAAATCTGATCTACTATGTATGTAAATTTTTGTGGGATTCTCTATAATACTTCTACTATTCAAGGATCAAATTTTCACGAGATCCTCTACAATATTCACACTGTTCAACACTGTGGGAAATTCAATATACTGTCGAAACACTACTTCGCCATAGCTGAATGTTTGATAAAAGATCTCTGCGATCTATGGATGTACCTCGACGATGGGTGAAGGTCATTTTCTAGCTGTATCAACGGTAAGTCCCAGCCAACTTCTTCTTCTTCGAAGTCCGAACCACTTCCGATGCGAGTGCCAAAAGCATTGGAAAATTGAGCATTCGAATTTCCCATTTCTTTCGAATAAACGCGAGTGTGTAATCGATCCCAACGAACCATTACGTCTATTTACCTGCTCATCTCGTCCTTCAAGTCACGATAATATTTAACGGTGTCCTCTCCGTCCACTTGTTTGCCGCTTCGATATTGCAGGATAGGCTGCACCATGTTGAATCCTTCCGGTCGAACGTAATCCGGAGGTGGCTCTTCCACGTCGTTCAATCGCACTCCAGGCTTATTGCGACGCAGATTCTTGTGCACGTCCTGATTTTGCATGTGAACCTTCAACACCGTTGCACAAAAGATTAGAATGAAATTGGAAGAAGAAAATCTGTCGCTGTTGAAAATATCCGCGGCTTACACTTTGAGAAAATTGTATAAGATCGGCTTGTCTTAATTTAGGATGCACACTGTCCTTTACTGGAGGTTTCCTCTTCTTAACTCTCTCTTCTTTCTTGTACCATCGTTGAACGATGAACGCTGCATCTTCGTTCTTCAAACCTTCGCGCAACAACGCTTTATGCGCTTCGAATTTGTCGTCGTAGTTGTTCAAGATCCTCTTGAAACGTTCTTCCAGCTCAGGTCCGAAACGTTTGCGAATTGTGTATCCTCTGAAGTCTGCAGACGCGAAAACGTTTCATTTCTCAGCTGGTTTCTGTTGAGTTTAACGTAACATCTTCACGGTTAGGTATGTTTCAGATAAACTCACGACTCTGAATTATAACTGCAGCGTCATCTTGGTTCAGTTCGTCCTTCGAGGCCTCGTCGTCTTCGTTCTCTTCCGCTTCCTGCTCTGCCTCAGCTTTTTCTCTCTGTTCTTCTGTGGGAACGGCGTCAAGTTCATAACTTAAAATAACTTTTTAATTTTTCGACGACTCGCGACACTTCTTCTTCGTTAGAAATCTGACAAATTTGTTTACCTAGCGCTTTTTGCAGAACAGTTGCCTCCTCCTCCTCTTCCTGCTTCTTCTTCATTTCTTCCAGCAAATGCTTCCGTGACAACCATCCACGAATATGTCGTTGCAGAGTCACGACTGATACAGCGAACTGCCACTTCTGCTTCTTGAATCTGATCTTAGCGAGCCACCGGCGGACACACGCTTGTACCATGATGATTTTCTTCAGCTGTTCCTCGTACATCTTCGAGAGGAACTCCACGTGATAGTATTTCAGGAAAACTTTCGTTCTGCCTAGCGCCCATCCGTCCATTTTCAGGCGAATCAGAAGCAGACGACAATTGTCACGATTAGCTACCACGCGTTCGTCGTAACCGAACGCTAAGAAACAGTATCTGGAATAGGAACATACTTCGTAGAAATGAACAACGTTCGAGTCAACGTGTTTCGTAAATTTCTCAATATTTACCAGTGATAAATCCGAACGAATCAAATTTTCATAGACTTTCCTATAGAATAATGTACAATTACGTTACCTTTTCAGAAATTCATTGAACGGTATTCTATGCGAGAACCCATTTTGCCTGATCCTAATTGTCTCTAAGACACCGGTGTATCTCAGCTGTTTCACCACTTTTTCCTTATCGAAGAATCGCGGGCTCTTCGAGTCGTTTGGCTTTATGCAACGCACAAATTGCGGCGATCCTGACACCATTTTCTGCAGCAGATCCATCAGAGAGTACCGGAAGTAAGTTGCGACAGTTTGCTGAGCTCTAGATTGTGACGCCAATCCACGACTGGAGTATCGTTCCTGAGATCGTTTGAAAAAGTTATGCGAATTTTAATTTTAACTTTACTTACATTTCAATTTTTCGTTGCTCTGCAGGTGTAATTCAATTAACAAATCGATACCTTCGTATTTTGACTCGACTGCGACAATTTTCTCGAGTCAGTTTCGTGCACCGCCGAGTACAAGTTTCCAGTCTTCGTGATCGGGCATTGAAAGAGGAAACGAACCATATCGTACTGAGATTGCCTGACAAGTTGGATGACTTCTGGCGGCAGGAAATTTCTGTTCTTCTCCAAAAATCCTTCCGCTTGGTAAACCACGCGTCCCGCGAAATGGTGAACCGCGAAGCAAATAGCGTCTGACTTTGGTCGTACGTAATACTTGGACTTGATGTTGCTGTGGAATTTCTCTGTAACATAATTGCACAACTATTTACCACGAAGCTGCGATTCAAAGTGAATCCATTGTCGAGACTAACAGTTTCATAAAACTGCAAAAATCATTGTTATCAAGATGCGCTACGAAGAGCAAAGGAAAAATTGTTTCAACAAATTATCGTCTTAGCTGCATAGTTTGAGTCAAAAAAATAGGAAAAGGCGGAAATATGAAACGCGGCACAGAAAGTGTTAAAAAGTATCGTACCGATGAGAGATTTGTTCGTGGCTCTAGGGAATCGGCTTTCCTCGTCCAACAAAGCCAAAAGACCCATCGGCTTGCTTAACAACATGTCAAGAACGGGTCTATTGTCCGAGAACTCGACCAAATCCACCGGTATTCCTTCCGCCATGTACTCCTGTTGCTCCCACGTAAAGATATGTTGATTGAAGTAATACTGTATCTGTTCGTTCGCGATATTGATGCAAAGTTGCTCAAAGGAGTTTCTCGGGAAATTTTCGAAGCCGAAAATGTCGAGTAGCCCGATAGCCAGCGGTTCGTAGTTTGGCGAGCGATTGAAGCATAGTAAACAGTTGATTTGATTGACCATCCAGTCGAACAATCGACCGTACAGCCCTTTTGCCATCGCGTCTCTCGCTGCACACGCCTCGGCCACCGTATTGTTCCGCGTGATTGTTTCTCCTCTGGTCATAACCGAGTTCGATGTCAACGCGTCCAAAAGATCGTTCTCCTCGACACCGAGCAATTGTGACACTGAAACACGTTACAAACGTCTCGATTTTTAAGTCTTCTATTTTAAAAAAGTAAAGCACGGGAAACGGGAGAATGTTTACCTCTGTGCAAAGGTGCTGCGTCGATTACACGACTTTTGTTATCAGTGTTATCCTCACTGGCCACTTCACCGAACTCGATATCACCGAGATGAAGAATCGCTGCCAGGATACGATACACAGTGTCCACTTCGCTGTCTCGAAATCCGAGCAATTTAAAGCCGGCCTTTAATTGTTGGAATTTGTCGATATGCGTTTGAGACGTTTGATTTTGATCTGTCAAGTATCGATGATGCTTGTGGACATTCGAGTCTAGGTAGAATTCTGAGAGGCGATTGTCCGCCTCCAGACCGTCGTACATGTAGTAAAATATGTGGAAGTTACGTTCGCCTCTGAAAAGTAGCTCAGTTTAAACACACGAAATCGTTCCTTGCGATGGAAAATGGGTCACTGTAAAACAGGGAGAAGATGGAACTTCCTTCCATTTTTCTCCCGTTTCTTCTTATTCATGGTTCTTATTCATAAAACCATTGAAAATTACGTATGGAAACACCTGTTTTACTTAGCCCACCTTGTGTATCGAAATATACTCACTCAGCTTGAGCCACAACCCGAGACTGCTCTAACAGATACACGTATATCCTGGCACCGGTAACTTTACCACCTTTAGTCATCGTTAAGTCCAAGTACTTCCCAAATCTCGACGAGTTCGCGTTAATTCCCGTAGTCGCGTTACCGAATGCCTCCATTATCGGATTTATCTGAAGGATCCTCTCTTCCAAGTTACGATTCGGAGCTTTGCTGAGGTAAACCAACTGTTTCAGCAGCAAATTCGCGCTTTCGGTTTTTCCAGCTCCGGATTCGCCGCTAATTACAATCGCCTGATTTTGTCGTTGGTGCAACAGAGCTTGATAAGCAGCATCGGCGACTGCGAAAATATGAGGTGGATTGTCCGATCTTGCTTGGCCCTTGTATCTCTTTTGTTCCTGCACGAGCAAGTCAAAGTTTACCTCGACGCTTAATATTTCTATAATATTAAGAAACTTCGAGGGATACTCACGATTCCAGTGTAAAGTCCCAGATTAGTGAACGGGTTAACAGCGACAAGTATATCTCCAATATAAGTGTATATTTGAGCTTGTTCGTATCTGTGTTGCAATTGGTCGACGATAGCATCCTCGGAAAGCATGTCCAACGCAGCCAGATCGTCCATGTACATCTTCTGCGGCCTAGCTTTGCGATCAGTCTTCAATTTTCCATGCTTGGTGGTCACTTCGGGTTGCCTGTGCACTCTTCCGTCAGCTCTTTGACGACGAATCTCCTGTTGAAGTTCGTCTTGGATCTTTTCCAAGCTCGAGTCAACGTTCAGCAGCAGAGGATGCTCTTTCAATTCGCTGGCAAATGGCCTGTGTTCGAGATCTTTCACCAAGCATTCCGTAATAAAGTCTACCAGCTCTGTAGAATGGATATCAGGATTCTTCAGAGACGGCGGTGGATTTCTGGGGATCTGAAAAAGTGCCCTCATCGGATGCAATTCGGACAAAGGTGGATCTCCCTCTGCTAGCTCGATCGCCGTGATCCCAACTGACCATACGTCGCATCGGGAATCGTAAGAAGAGTCCAATTGTTGCTCGCAAGCTATCACCTGTTCGGAATTCGTTAATTTCGTCGGTTATTAATTTCGTTCTGAAAGTAGGATTTAGTGTGTTCTACAGCCCCTGGCGAAAAAAATTGGGGGCACTCAGAGTTTTCAACACCTTTCGCATTTTGGTGATATATGGAAGTCACGAACACTGTCTTTCTGCCTTATTAAGTATCTCTCGATACGAATCCAATTGAGAATATCTGCAGTTTATCTAAATCTCTTACCAGTCACCACGTTCGCTGGCTTAAATAAAAGCATTCTAGATATTTGGCAAAATCATGGAAAAATCAAGGACACGATAAAACAGAGTATGCAGGAAAGGATACATGCTGTAATCGAAGCAAAGGGAGGAAACACAAATTATTATTGAATTCGACTGAAAGTCCGAAAGATGTTGAAAATTGTGAGTGACCCTGATTTTTCGTCTAATGTACCTCGGGTGCCATCCAATACGGCGTGCCGACCGAGGTATTTTTCCTCGCTAGTGTTGCTACGAGGTGCGAGGCCACGCCAAAATCAACTAATTTGACGTGTGCATCGTCGGTAAGCAAAATGTTGTGTCCCTTAACGTCTCGATGCATACAGTGATTGCTGTGTAAATAAATTAGCGCCTCCACCGTTTCCCTGAGGATATAAGCTATTTGCTCGTCCGTTAGGCGTCTTCCTTTTCTCTTCAGACCTTGGACAAGATCGGTCACCGATCCTCCGGTGCACAACTACAACCGAAACGAAATCTTTCAGCTGTTTAACCATCTTTAGAAACGTTAGATCAGATAACCACAGAATTTCGTAAGATCGTCACAATCTACGGGTGCTGATATTTACAGCTCGGATGGGACAATCATCCTACCAATTGTATATATTCGTTACGCTTTCCTATCTGCGTTATGAGACGAAAATTAGAGTGACAATACCTCCATGACGAACCATAATTGATCCTCTTCCTGCGCCGGTTTCGCTCTTTTCAAGAATAATCCGTGAAACACAGGGATATTCGGATGTAGGCTCAAATCTCTCAACACCAGGTACTCCTCCTCGATCTCCTCGATATTGTCCGCCACGTTCTCCAAGATTTTAATCGCAACTTTGTTCCCGGTTTCGTTGCATTGTGCGCTATAAACTTCTCCGTAGGTTCCTTCGCCGATTAATTCCTCCAGTACGAAACGATCGCCGGGATCTGGTATCACGTCGAAGTTTACGTGCTGGCTTAGACCGTGGTACGCCATGTTGGTCCCTCCGCCGGTCATTTCTGCAAAAAGAAATCACGTCGAATGGCAGATTTACAGAAAATTACACGCTTATCTCGAACATTGTCCATACTCTTGATCGTAACAGAGGTATCTTTAAAGTTAGTAATTTACCGCGGCTACCTTTTTACTCAGCCAAAAAAGATTACGCCGGGATATGAAAAATGCTAGGCTGCATTTGCGGGTATTTTTCCAGGAGAACAAGACTGTACTGGCGGTGAACTAATTCCTAGATCAAGTCTTGTAGAAAGTTGCGGTGAACCGCGAGAAGAAAAGTTGTCACTGCTATACCGTATACGTATCGCGTAAAAAAGCGCGACCGGAAACTAAATATTATCGAAGAAAGCGCGCGTAGAACTTTGACGAGAACAAGTTTTATCCGATACCGTAACGTTACGAAACAGGGAAAACAGAGAACGTCGAATAAATAACTCGACACGTTGACAGTATGAAAATGATTGATTTCTGTTGCATAAGAAATTCGTGATTCCATTAATACAGGTATGCGGTGGAGAATTACATATATTAAGTTAGTGAAGCAGATTACGTAACGTTACATTTCCTCGTTACAAAGGAAATTTACATCGAACAGACATAGGAAAATATATTATCCAGCTACTTTAAAGAGGCAAGTTCGAAAAATTCAGCGTTTCTCACATTAGGACGGCTAATTGTCACTAGCGATTACGCAATTCTATTGTTTTACAAGGTAAGAGAATCTCACTACGTCCAGAGCGTAAAAAGGAAAAATAAAGAAGCACTTTCTCTCGTTCGATGTTCCTTCCGAGTTTAACAACAATTAAACCACCAAACTCTCGTGAGAGTTTCATATACTTTTAATGTCCGGTTTCACTGCACTTTCTACGGATTATTCCTACTGAAAAATTTTCTGGTTACGTGAATTGCTTTACTGACCGATTATGTCACCCATTCTTTCTTTCTTTTTTTTCTCGCACTCTCAAAATCTCAAAAGTCTCGATGCCTCATTTAAGCTCCAGCGATTTCGACGAACATTGTTCACTTGACCAGGTATGAAATACGACTGGATCGTTCGTCTTCTAACCAGATACCTGTTAACCCCTAATGAGATTAGGCTCGGTAAGACCGGCGCATTTCTGCTTGCTTTTAAAAATAGGTCTCGTAAGAAGACTATGCCGTGTGTATCTCTGTCATTTTGATTCTTGATATTAATACCGTAACAGCTCGAATAGGCTTAGATATCTACGAAATATATTAACCTGATCTCTCCCCGATAACAGGGACTCCTAATTAGTTACATATATACGTGTGTATATTCGATACATGTACGTGTTAAATTAATAAATCACTATAAATAAATCACTCGTTCTTTACGAGAGAATAATTTATGCGGCATTATTCTTTTGTTAACTTGATGAACTACTTACACGATGTGAAGCACGATAAATTTGCCTACTTCAATGTTTTCGTTCTCCAAGATATTACACGGTATCGTTTCGTTATTTATCGTGCTATTTTGTTCTTTTTTTTTTTTTTTTTAGGTAGAAATACGCAGTTTCAACTGGATTTGTAGTATTTCACACTTCGCTTTCTGCGTGAAAATCTACTCAGGGTATAATAATAAATCGTCTACGCCACTGGATGAAGCCGTCTAAGGATCGAAGCCACTCGTGGTTTCGAATGACATTTTGTAACACGAAATTAAACAGGACGTTTATGGATCACGAGTGTTAGTTGTGTAGACGATGTTCTGTCGCGAAATTAATAGAGGACAACACTTGGAGGATCTCGAATCTTGATTAACTGAACGAAGGCATAACTTTGCAAATATTAAGTTTTACTTTGCCGTGAATAGGGGAACATTAATCATGGCAATAAGTGCATAGCAACGAATCGTTAAATTCGATGCAAAATTATTTCGAAAGGAGAGAGGGAATAATATTTTGCTACACTACCGGCTAAAAGTTTTCAATCACCGTGCATCGAAAGTTACATGAAATTTGGATAAAATAAAAACTTAGCAATTTTAAGAATGTTTCATTACTCGAATCAAGAGAAACAAAGTAAATTGCTGTCGATCTTCGTAATATTAATTTCAAATTTTTCAAGAGATTGACAGGTAATTCGAAAGTTTTGATCGGTAGTGTATTTTAAAGCGATGCTCACGATGAGGATAAACGTAGTAATTAGAGGAATTCATGAAGTACGATTAATTTTTTGTTTAAGGGAAATAACGTGCAATTAAAGCTTGCACGTTGCTTTGAAATGTAAATGAAAAGACATGCTAAAGTACACGGATAATTTTATAATCTTATAAGCGTGCACGCTGGTGTTAATTATTGTGCATAGCCATCGGAGTCACGTTCAGCAGTGCGAAGTGTGTCAAATGTACAGATCTACGCTTGTATCTAGCATTCGTGATATAATTTACGGGTACAATGTTGATCTAATATTTCATTCGAAACAGGAAGAGAAATGATGTATTGCTGGTATTTGAAAAATTTCACAGAAAAAGCAAATGTATTTGCCAAGTATTCCGATATTACGGATATTTTCTTATAGAAATTTCAAGATTTTCGAATTCGAGGATATCTAGTTTCTACAATATGCAAACGCTCGCTCCAGATTCTGTTTTACAGAAAAGCGAATCGAAGAGGGAAAATAAAGCACGTTGCAAAAGCTTCCCCTACCTCAGGCTGTAATTGAAAGCTTCTGCAAAACAACGATCTTGTTTGTCGCGGAAAAACCAAGCTTGAAAGAAATTTTTTTCATTCGAATTCGTACACGAATACCAGAAGGATCATCTGAATCAAAATTTTTCCAAGTAAATTTTTCTGTAACTTGAAACACGACTGAAAAATTCCTTGAAACTTGCAGAAAACCAAGTTAGAAAGTCGCAAACGATAATGCTTATCGAACGTTTACTCTTCTTTGGAAAGTTGCTAATGGGTCAAATTTGACCCGGTCGGTAGTTTTACCGTTGAACAATATCTCTTTTTCCGAACTGAAAGAGAAAAAGAAATATTCGTCGAACACAGCAACTGATTAGTGCCTTCTACGTAGAATATAAGAATCCTGCCAATTTCACAGATCGATGCTTCCCCCACTGTAATACTCGCCTACTCGCTCGTTTCGAAAGTATTGTCAACTGTTGTTTCGCCGTTCCTAATTAACACTCTGTATCGTGATCTCACCTATTCGACGAAACGAACGATTGATCGTTGAATTTCTTCCATTTCTCGGCACCTTCAATCAGTGCTATCAATCGTAAACAATAACCGGTGACTGTGCGAGGCAGTCACGTGGTAAGATGGGTATTAGAGCGAAGAAACCCGACGTAAAATTGGCTTAAAGGCCCCAACTGTAAAGTAATGTCTCCTCTAGCTGCATCATCATGTCCAACTGCCTTGGACAATACTTGACTGCACCTAATGTGGTGCATAAGCCGGACAAGTCACGAACATAGTGGCTTCTCAGTTACAACTGTGTCATTGGCTACGAAAATTTCATTATTAACGATTATCGATTTCAATTATAACTCGTTTACGTCACAGTCTCTTTGTCCTCGTGTGCTTCTCTTGTGAGAAAGTAACATTGTTCTGTGCTGCCCGTAAGGAATAATTAATCGTTCTATTTTGAGAAAACATGCGTAGCGTAAATAGGTGTAGAAAGTAGATCGTATTCTCGTTTAAGCAATTTTCATTAATACCGAGTGGAGAGGATCGATAGGAGAGGATTTTCATTTTTGTTTCTCATAATTACATGCATCGAGTTAAACTCGAGGAAAATTTCAACAAGGTTACTTTCGTTTTACGTGTTCGAGCAGGATTCAATGTTGCCTTCGATATTTTTCGTGCCAGTCGAATGTAACGTAGTCTGTTAAGTCGTTTCTTCGACGATTTTCTGAATATTTCCAGTGAATTTTTTCAACGTAAATTGTAAAACGAGGTCTCGACGTGAAAATCTAAGATAGACATAAATTGCCATGTCATTAAAATCCTTGCTTACAGACTTTTCTCAAACGATCGCGTTTATAAATTATTCGTGTTACCGCAAAACTTTCGACATTTCCGTCGTTACTTGGTAAAACGTTAATTTATATGAAAGCTAAATTTCAATTTTACGTACTTTCGTTGCACTATCTCAACTGTATGGACAAAATTCTAAATATCAAATTACAGTGGTTATAGGTTATGGTAATAAATAGAAAGACATGAATGACCAGAGAAATTTTCTATTTTTACGTGGTACGGTTTATAATGTGATTTAGTATCACTCGAATGACAAACTGGATGAAGTGAAAGGTCAGAGGCTTTTCCAATCGCATACTCATGGTTCCGCTGTTTTATTCCTTTCAGCGTGACGGCGTAACGGTACAGTGCGTGCCATCAATGGCCGTACTACTCCTGCGTAATGTTTAAACTGTGTACTGTTGTGAACAATGCACCCTGAACTGGACATCTATGCTAATTCTTTCGAATCGCTCTCTTCGAAGAAAGTTAATAACTGGAGAAATTAATTTCTAACTGTTTTTTTTTTTATCGTAGCATATGCAGCTGTACAGGTTAGAACAGTTTCAGACGAATCCAGCCGATTGATGTTTTTGCATAAAGTAGTAGTTATTGATTTCCTTTTACTAATGAAGTTTGTTCTTTAATTGAACGCGTTCTATAACTTCAGTTCAACTGAACTTTCATTTAATAGCTGTAAAAGTTCAGTGGATGGCAATGCAAAGTGAATTTTCTTTTATTGTACACTTCCAATTGATTTGTGGAAATGATAATTTTACCAAAACTAGTTTGTTATCTTAATTTAGTGTGTTCAGTAGGTATAAAAGTTAAATGGATGGCGATGCAAAGTGAATTTTTTTTTTATTGTACACTTCCAATTGATTTGTGGAAATGATAATTTTACCAAAACTAGTTTGTTATCTTAATTTAGTGTGTTCAGTAGGTATAAAAGTTAAATGGATGGCGATGCAAAGTGAATATAATTTTATTGTACACTTCCAATTGATTTGTGG